TATTTATTGTAGAAACAAGGTTTTGCCAAGTTGCCCAGGCTGGTCTCGAATTTACAGGCTCAGATAATCCACTTACCTTGGCCTCCCAAAGTGCTGGGATTACAGGCTGAGCCACTGAGTCTGGCCCTGATTCCATTTTTAAAAGTTCCAACTGGGTACAGTGTAATCCCAGCACTTAGAGAGGCTGAGGCAGGAGGATTGCTTAAACCCAGGAGTTCGAGACCAGCCTGTACCTCATCTCTACAAAAAAATTAAAAAATTAGTTGGGCACAGTGGTTTACACCTGTAATCCCAGAACTTTGGGAGATGGAGGTGGGAGGATTACCTGAGTCCAGGGCTTCGAAACCAACCTGGGCAACATGGCAAGACCTCATCTCTACAATAAATCATAAAATTAGCTGGGTGTGTTGGCACATGCCTATAGTTCTAACTACTTAGAAGGCTGAGGTGGAAGGATTGCCTGAGCCCAGCAGGTAGTGGCTGCGGTAGCCATGAGCATGCCACTGCACTCCAGCCTGGGCAACAGAGTGAGACTCCTACTCAATAAATAAATAAATTAACCAGGCCTGATGGTGTGTACCTGTAGTCACAGCTACTTAGAAGGCTGAGGCAGAAGGATCACTTGATAAACCCAGGAGATGCTGAGGCTGCCATGAGTTGAGATCATGCTCCTACACTCCAGCCTGGGTAACAGTGACACCCCGACTCAAAAACAAAAAATTCATTAGCCGGGCATGGTGGCGTGCGCCTGTGGTTCCAGCTGATTGAAAGACTGAGGCGGAAGTTTCGCCAGAGCCCAGCAGATTGAGGTTGTGGTGGCCGTGAGCGTGCTGCTGCACTCCAGCCTGGGCGATAGAGTGAGACTTCAAAAAAAAAAAATTTCCTGTCTGGCTGCCATGTGGAAGAGGATTTATCAAATAGGCAGGAGCTGGGCATGGGCATGGTGGCACACACCTGTAGTCCCAGCTACTTGGGAGTCTGAGGTGGGAGGATTGCTTGAGCAACATAGTGAGACTCCAAAGTAAAATAAAGTGGGCAGGAAGGGGAGCTGGGAGAGTAGAGTGATAAGGAGAAAGTGAAATTAATTGTTCTGACTTAGGGTTGTTGTGAGAATCAAAATGGACACATGATTGTGCTTGGTGGTGCTGAAAGTTGCCCATTCACTTCCTGCCATCTCTCTGTCAGGTGCTGCTCCCAGAAGGCTGTGCTCAGTTCTTTTCTGGAACCTCTGCAGCTCTGTTCAGTCCCTATCAAGCCGTCCTGGTCAGTGTGATGGCAGGGTTTGGCCAGAAACAGCACTATGGGCACTCTAGGCTGTGGAGTGTCAGCGTCATGAGGGGTTCTGGGAATGTGTGGAACCAAACTGGGTTTCACGAGTTTGCTTGTCTGTGGAAGTGACTGGCTTTCAGGCAGCTGTTGTCATCCAAGGAATGGGCTTCCTCCCCTCAGACTCAGGGGAAACTCAGTGAATGGCCTGCTCTTGGTGAAGTGGAGCCCGCTAGAAGGGTCGCCATTGGAGATGGCTTAGGGCTGAGGCAGCTTATCTTCTGCAACTCTGCGTACCCACATGCTAATGGACCTGGGACTGGCAAGGTGGTTCTCTAGAATACTTGTTCTGTGAGTTGTCCCCAGGGTTCTGGTGTCCCAGGTTATGACAGGTCCCAGTGGCTCTGCTCGCTTTCGTGTTTCTCTTCTTCCTCCCTGTCTCCCAGGCTTTTGAGATACCAACTTGAATCTGTAGCCTGCCCTCAGCCCCAGAAAACTTACTGGGAATGGAAAGGAAAGACAAGAGAGCTTGGCTTGTTTTTACTTTGTATCTTGGATAATTTCAGACATAAAAGTATAGAGAACAGTGTCATGAACCCCGCACACCTTCACCTAAACTTACGATTGCTAACATTTGCCTTACTTTTGGTTTTGCAAAATAATTTAAAAGTAAACTGGGTGCCATTGCTCACACTTGTAAACCCAGCACTTTGGGAGGCAGAAGCGAGAGGATTGTCTGAGCCCAGGGGTTTGATACCAGCCTGGGCAACTTGGTGAGATCTTGTCTCAACAATAAATTAAAAAATTAGCTGGATGTGGTGGTGTGTGCCTGTAGTTCCAGCTACTAGGAAGGCTGAGGCAGAAGGGTCGCCTGAGCCCAGCAGGTCGAGGCTGCAGTGGCTGTGAGTGTGCCCCTGCACTCCAGCCTGGGCAGCAGAATGAGACTCCACTCAAAAATAATAATAGCCTGGGCTCGGTGGCTCAGCCTGTAATCCCAGCACTTTGGGAGGCTGAGGCGAGTGAATTGCTTGAGCCTGTGAGTTTGAGACCAGACCGGCCAACTTGCTGAGAGCTTGTCTCTACAAAAAAAAAAGTAATAATGATAATAATAGTAATAACAATTTAAAAGTAATTACAGACATGACCCTTTATCACTAAACACTTCAGAATGCATTTAAGAAACAGTTTCTCATATACTATTTTTTTTTTTGAGTTGGAGTCTCACTCTGTCGCCCAGACTGGAGTGCAGTGGCCGCTCCCGGCCACCGCAGTCTCGACCTGCTGGGCTCCGGCGATCCTTCTGCCTCAGCCTTCCAAGTAGCCGGAATTACAGGCATGTACTACCATGCCCGGCTGATTTTTTGACTTATTGTAGAGATGAGGTCTCGCTGCCCAGGCAGGTCTCGAACCCGCGGTCTCAGGCAATCCACTCACCTCAGCCTCCCAAAGGCGCAGGATTACAGGCTGAGCCACCGAGCCCGGCTTCTCATATACTATTAATACCATTAACACCTTAACAAAATTAATAAAGATCCCTCAGATACACAGTTTAGATTCAGATTTACCTAATTACCCCAAATGCCTTTTACAGCCAGGACATTGTATTAGATTGTTATTTATTTTATTTTTAGCTAAAAAAAAAATTTTTTTTTGAGTTGGAGTCTCACTCTGTTGCCCAGGCTGGAGTGCAGTGGCACACTCACGGCCACCCTAGCATCTACTTGTTGGGCTCTAGTGATCCTTGTGCCTCAGTCTTCCAAGTAGCTAGAACTTCAGGTGCGCACTACCACACCCGACCAATTTATTTATTTATTTTTTAATTGTAGAAACGAGGTCTCACCAAGTTGCCCGGGCTGGTCTTGAACGTGCTGACTCAGGCAATCCACTCACTTTGGCCTCCCAAGGTGCTGGGGTTACAGGCTGAGTCACTGAACCCGGCCGATTATTGTTTATTTTAAGTCTCCCTTACATTCTGGATATAAGATCTTTCTCAGATTATTACTGACTTGTTGAAGAGGAGGGCTAATTGTCCTGTGAAAGATTGTGCTGTCTTCTGGATTTTTTTTTTTTGAGTTGGAGTCTCACTCTGTCGTCCAGACTGGAGTGCAGTGGCTGCTCCCGGCCACCACAGCCTCGACCTGCTGGGCTCTGGCGATCCTTCCGCCTTAGCTTTCCAAGTAACTGGAACTACAGGTGCACGCTACCACGCCCGGCTAGTTTTTTTGATTTATTGCAGAGATGAGGTCTCGCCAAGTTGCCCAGGCGGGTCTCGAACCCTCGGGCTCAGGCAGTCCACTCACCTCAGCCTCCCAAAGGCGCGGGATTACAGGCTGAGCCACCAAGCCCGGCTGTCTTCTGGATTTATCCAAAGCCTTCCTTGGGGTGGTTAAAACATGGCCCTTGTCCCTGTATTTCTGGAACCCGGAAGTTAGGTACATTCAGGCTTCACAGATTGGCGAGACTGCCTGTGCGTGATGTTGGATTCCTTGCTGTAGCCCTCCGTCTGTGATGCTGAGGCTGACCAGGTCCCAGCTGAGGCAGAGGTGGCAACGGCTCTATCTCCCCATTGGAATGATACATGTGTGGGACCTTGCATTCAGCCTGACCTTGCTTCTGCTTCCCACAGCCCCTTCCTGGTTTCTTTGAGTACCCCAACAAAACCCCTCCTGCCCACGTCTGAGTCTCATCCAACCCAAGGTGCTGTGCTACGAAAAGAGGAAGAGGGAGATTGGCTCAGTCCTGCAAACTCCAGAACCTTGTAATGGGGAGGGGCTGACTAGGTAGCAGCACATTGGCCGGGAGTTTGAACTGTCCGTAATACGAAGTTGAAACTAACAAACATTAGGATATAAAGAGAATAGTATAACAAATCCCCTTGTACTCCTCACCCAGCTTGATAATTAGCAACTGGAGACCAGTCTTGTTTCATCTGTGGCCCTGGGGTTCTTTGGAAGCGAGTCCCATACATTATGGAAACTATTTTGGTATGTTCCTCTAAAAGATAAGGAATCACTTTTAAAGTGTAACTACAGCAACATGATGCTTAAAAATTAACGTCAGTGCGTTATTATCCATTGTGGGAATAGTCATTGAGATGGGTAAACTGAACTTAGAGAGAAGGTCCCTAGCAGGTTTTGACAGAACATGCACTCGAACGTGCGCCTTGCTTTTCAGGTTAGTTCTTTGTGTGGTTCCAGAGACATTGTCGGCAGAGCTGGGCTTCAGGTCTTTCTCCTGGCACCTGCCACTTAGCAGTGAAATGTGCTCTGTCACCTCCCTCCCCCATTGTGCTGTGAGGTTCTTCATAAAGAGTAGGGGCTGTGCCTGTGGCTCCTCTGAGCCCCCTGTGTCCAGGTGGCCTGGCATTGGTTGGATGCTATGGACACAGTTTTTTTTTTTCTTGAGTTGGAATCTCACTCTGTTGCCTAGGCTGGAGGGCAGTGGCACGCTCATGGCCACCGCAGCCTCAACCTGCTGGGCTCAGATGATCCTTCTGCCTCAAACTTCCAAGCAGCTGGAACTATAGGCATGTGCCACCACGCCCAGCTAATTTTTCTTGATTTCTTGTAGAGATGAGGTCTTATCAAGTTGCCCAGGCTGATCTTGAACCCCTAGGCTCAAGCAGTCCTCTCATCTTGGCCTTCTAAACTGCTGAGGTTATAGTCATGAGCCACCGCACCTGGCTGGAAGCAGTTTTTTAAGCTGAACAGCTATGTGTGGACTTCTGCTGTTCTATGCCCAGCTCCTCCAGGCCCTGTGCAGGACATTCCTCGGACATCCCAGGTGTGTCCTGGCTCCCTTTCACTGACAGCCTCCCGATGGCTCTGTTACAGTCGGACACCATGTCACATCTGGTGAAGATCCCGGGCATCATCATTGCTGCCTCTGCAGTCCGTGCTAAGGCCACCCGCATCTCTATCCAGTGCCGCAGCTGCCGCAACACCCTCACCAATATTGCCATGCGCCCTGGCCTGGAGGGCTACGCCCTGCCCAGGAAGTGCAACACGTGAGTGATCAGCCAGGAGGGACAGTGGGGAGGTCTGGAGGTCAGCAATGATGAGGAGGAGCAGCAAGCACCACCTGTAGTACCTGTAGCTGCTTGCTAGATACCCAGTGGGACGGCTGGGAAGGGTGTGCCCTTGGGATTGACACAGAGCTGATGTCTTGGGACACTGGGGCACCGTGAATGGGGCATGGTGTCCCTCTATAGTGGTGAGGTCTGTCCTGTCAGGATGCCCAGACAACCTGTGAGGGGAACCCAGGTTGGGAGGGAAAGCAGTCCAGGGGAATGAGTCTATCTGGAATCTTCTGGGTTTTTTTTTTTTGAGTTGGCGTCTTAATTCTGTCACCCAGGCTGGAGTGCAGTAGAATGCTCATTGCTCATGGCCACCATAGCCTCGACCTACTGGGCTCAGGTGATCCTTCCGCCTCAGCCTTCCAAGTAGCTGGAACTACAGGCACGTGCCACTATACCCAGCTAATTTTTTGATTTATTGTAGCGATGAGGTCTCATCAAGTTGCCCAGGCTGGTCTTGAACCCGTGGACTCAGGCAATCCTCTCACCTTGACCTCCCAAAGTACTGGGATTATAGGTGTGAGCCACCATGCCCGGCCCTATCTGGCATCTTCTAAAGCAAACTGTGGCTTGCTGGGTCAGACCCAACATGCAAACTGGACAGCCCAGGAGCACAGCCCAACTTATCCCTTCATGTATTACCCACAACCGCATTTGTGGTGCAGAGAAAGAGTGTGTGGCCTGTTGGCTCGTAGAACCTAGGTTATATACTGCCTAGCTCTTTAAAGAAAATGTTTACCAGCCCTGATCTAAAAGGGACCCCACCCTTGCTTCCTGGCTACTCTTTTACCTGTGGAATGTCTACTTTGTTCTGTGCTGCTGTTGTCTCACCTGGAGCGATGTGGTACCTCCTCCCTCGTCCCCTGCGTCTACCCCCGGCCCCTTAGTCTACGCAGCAGCCAGGTGGCCTGTGACACTACATGGGTTTCAGTTGTTTCTGTCTCCCTGGTCTGCTCTGTGGTCTGTTCCTGGCTCCTGCCAGCCTCCCCTCCTCTTCAGGGACAGCTGCACTGTCTCCTTCCTGCTCCTAAATACACTGAGCCCACCCCAGCCTCAGGGCCTTTGATGATCCTGTTTCCTCCCTGGGAGTGTGTCCCTCAGGCCCCCATAGTCTGCATCCTCACTACTGTAGACACCTCAAAGTCCCTTCACCAGGGGCAGCTCCCCAGGCCCTCAGTCTTAAATTTCCTCTCCCTCACAGCACATCCTGTCACTCTTTTTTTTTTGAGTCAGAGTCTCACTCTGTTACACAGGCTGGAGTGTAGTGGCATGCTCATGGCCACTCCAGCCTCAACCTGCTGGGCTCAGGTAATCCTTCTGCCTCAGCCTACCAAGTAGCTGGAACCACAGATGTCTGCCACCATGCCTGGCCAATTTTTATTTATTGTAGAGACAAGATCTCACCATATTCCCCAGGTTGATCTTGAACCCCTGGGCTGAGGCAGTTCTCTCACCTTGGCTTCCCAAAGTGCTGGGATTACAGGCTTGAGCCACCACACCCGGCCTTCTGTCACTCTTAGGTAGTCATTTGCCTGTAGGTTTTTTCAGTCCCCTGATGACAGCATGAGCTCCACAAGAGCAGGAGCCTTCTGTTCACTGCCATGGCCCCTGCACCTGGAATAGTGTCTGGCACATACTGGATGCTCTCCTATGGTGTTTGTTTATATAAACTGTTGTAGTATTTGGTTTTTGTGTGTGGTTTTGTGGCTTGTTTGCTTGTTTTTTTCTTTTTCTTCTTTTTGAGTCAGAGTCTCACTTTGTTGACCAAGCTAGAATGCAGTGGTATGCTCATGGTCACTGCTGCCTCGACTTGCTGGGCTCAGGCGATCCTTCCGCCTCAGCCTTCCAAGCAGCTGGAACCACAGGCATGTGTCACCACGCCCAGCTAATTTTTTGATTAATTGTAGAGATGAGGTCTCGCCAAGTTGCCCAGACTGGTCTTGAACCCATGGGCTCAGGCAATCTTCTCACCTTTGCTTCCCAAAGTGCTGGATTACAGGCGTGAGCCACCACACTTGACTGTTTTGTTTCTTTTTTTTTTTTTTTTTG